TTGTAATATTATTGTTATAAAACGATCTATGTTACATGAAGACTTCAAGATGATTTCAGTCTGAGGTTATCTGACTGTTGAGGTGTCGTTGTTGGGAAATGAGTATAATTAAGCTCAACAAGAACAAATGCGTTATTGCTGAGATAAAATGAATACCTTTGATTAATTCTTTAATTATGTGCTTTACTTTGTTATAAAATCATAACTGTCTCGCCAACTACTATACCTTTCTTGCACACCCTTCGGTGCTAATACTTTTCATTATACACAGGAAAACAACGCTACGAAACAAACAGGCCCTAGATTATCACCTTATATGATGAGTGTTTTTTAACCGTGGGAGGCGCATGCATCGATGAGAAAATGCGGACATTTCAAGCTTTGTTTGACGTTGTTCAAATCCTTTCGCGAACCAGACGACCAAGCATTTTTCGTCGGAATCTTTACTTCGGAGAAGTATAAAAGCTAATCATAAGCAGACGTTAAAAGTACTTGGTACCAACCCCTTTCGAGTGTTTTGATAAGTTTCCAGTTCATTTTCGGCTTGGGTGACGCGCTGTCGCTAGTGGCTAGTGGCAAATAGCTGCAGTCCTCGGTGTTTGTCAGCCATTTTGTTTCCACTAGTTCCCAAGGAAGCCTGTGAGTTCAACACATGCGTATTTTGCGTTTTATCATCACGTGGGCCTTTCCAACCAATGAAAAGGTGTGAAATTTATCTGTTTTCACACGGGCACTTTCATGTCAAAGAAGACGAACTGTAAAGCGTGCGTTTTGCAAGAAGACGCTTCTTTTTTCTTCAATTTAAAGTCTTTTTCCTGTCAGGTTCAACAAGAAGTATGCCTGTGTTCCCTCTCCTTTTCGCATATCTGAACAAGTTGGATCGGTCATCTTCGATCACGCTTTGATACTCGTTCGTTTTAATTCTAAAACGTCAGGTTGTTTTTGTGTTCATTTGCCTTAAAATCTCCACTTTCTGTTTGCAGATACTTATTCGTTGCTGTCATAAGCAAACTGTATGGCACTGAAGAGCACGACATCAGCCAGAAGTCTACACGATAAGCAATTAATCAAACTTTAACTTGGAGTTTCGATTCGGAAGCTGCTCCATGAAAATACTGCATTTGTGTTGTATTAGTGTTCGTGGTATTATATTGCTATAGTTTTTCAATTTTTCGTTTCAAACCCTATTTCTTACCAATGTAAAAGGTATTCTTATTCATATGTTTATACTGTTTCTACTATTCTGGTGATTTTTACGAGCGTGTTTTAAACACCACATTTGCTTAAGCAGATCGAAACCTACATACATTAAAGACTATGTCAATCCTATGTAATTTCTGTTTGAAGACTAATTAAAGGCTGTGTATGTGATATGTTTTACCTCCTCAAATACTATTAAACTCCTATGTCAAACCTATGCAAAGACTATTTTTTCTGTGTTTTCCCTATTTTAATGCTATGCAAAGTATATGTCACCCTTAAAAAAGGCTATGCTTATCATATGTTTTTACTATTCTAGGCTATCTAAATTCTAAGCAAACCCTATTCAAAAGCTATTTAATCAACTGTTCCCTGTTCCATTTTACTATGTAAACTCTATGTCAGTCCTATGTGAAGGCTATTTATTTTCTATGATTTCTGTATAAGGTTGACTATGAAGTCTAAAATCTCTTTCCAAAAGCTAAGTAAATTATATGTATAGGAGCTGGAAACTATGTCATTTCTTCCTTTTTTACTACCTTTAAAAACTGCATAGCTTTTAAGTAGGTTCCGTTTGACTAGTGAAAACATAGCATTTTCGATACAAAAAAAATAGTCCTGGCATAGAAACAACATAGGATCTGGTTAAAGCAATGTATGACTGATTGACATAGGTTTTACATAGCTTTGTGACATAGCATCTGCATAGATTCTACATAGTGTCTGACTCTACAAGGGAATATTTTCGATCGATAAATTTTAGCAGTTTGACAAGAGCTAAGGGGCAGGAGCTACAATGTCCTTTGTTCCTGGTTTACAAAATTGTCCTATCTCACGGTAGAGCTAAAGTGTTTGTTCTTGAGACAGTTCGCTTGAATATATAACTGGAGGAGTAGCTGTAGAGGGTGGAAGGACGGCTTGAGTTTTCAACAACATGAAAGAATGTTCAGGGCTGTTCACAAATTCTTTATAATAAACCATTCCAGGGTTTTCCTAAGAAAACCGGAAATGATGACACTTCTTAATGTTCGGGAACTTTCTAAAATACTGGCCAAGGAATGACGCCCAGTCATGTACAGTAACAATGATTCGACCATCATGGGTTCCAACCAGCTGTACTTTGTTTAAGCCACTGTTACTAGAGGTCTTAACCAATCTAGCAAATTCATACAATGAAGACACATGAGTCACCTTATATACTTTCTCAATCAAGCCAAAGGGTTGATCAGGACCAAACTTTGCGTGTCCTGCTATTAGAAAAGAGTATGTAATTGACAGTGAAGTTTCAGCAAAATTCTGTATGTCAGGTACCAAAGGAAAAAACTGTTTTTGTTCTGGCCAGTGCAATTGTCCGCATAAAGATGCGAATGATGCTCTCCCAGTCCATGGTTACTCAATCATTGCTTGGTACATGTATCTGTTGTGCAAAGTCAAGTGAGTAATGCATTGATGCATTTAAAGAACAGGCCCCTCCGGTTTCACAGATCAGCAGAGTATTAGCGTCAATTGTTTGAAGAAATCTCTCGCGTTCCTTACCAGGGTTCCTGTAACATTCTCTCTTGCTTTGTGCAATGTCCAAATGTTCCTGGTGAGCCTTTACACAATCTGATTTTTCTTCATCTGAGAGGTTAGCAGCTCGCTGCAGTTTCGTCGTGTTTTGCTGACACGTTAAACAAAGATCCATCATGGGTTTAGAGATGACCACGTCAGGATAAAATTCGTCCCACAGCTGTAAGAATTTCTTGTAACTTACGCCTCTCGTTTAAAACACCACAAGTTTTCTTGTGCTCCCTCCAAACGCTCCTCTTTGTTTCCAATGAAGACAAGAGCCTAATCTCTTCACTTTTAAATCCCGGGAACCTTCCAGGAAGCACGATCGCATTTTCTTCAACATAATTGTCAATAAATGCATGAACAGCCTCAAGCGATTTTTTGAAAGTTGCGCTTTTAGGCACTCGTTTGGTGTTTCCATGAGTTCTTGGATAAATACTGTGTTCCTGATAATGTTCTCTTAGTCTTCGAAATATGGAATAGCCAATTCCGTAAAGATGTAAGAACATCTCCTTGCAGATTGGAATTGTTTGATAAGTGAAGCTGCATCAAGGACTTCTATTCCTTTTGTCGCTGATTTTTTCAGTTTTTGTGAAGACGTGAATATTGGAGAGGACCTCAAGCTCAAGTTCGCTGCTCGAAAGCTCAAGGCAGTTATATAAGTTGTAGAGAACAGTCTCCGCTGAAAACTGTCCTGAACAAGGGTGACCTTTAAAACAATTGCTGCAAGTTCCTCGCATAAATTTCTTATCATTTTGTACAATCTCGTTGGAGTCACTGATATAGAAATAAGCCATCTTTACGTATCTTTGGATTTGTGCGTCGTAAGTAAAGCCGTGACTATCCTGTTTTTCTCTTGCTGCATCTTGTTGCAGGATAACAATTGATTGCTGTCACAATCGTTGCTACGACAAAAAGATACAGTACTGCAGGCACAAGGATAGTTCTTACCTGTCAGTAGGAAATTATTGTCTGAAAATATCGAATGTTTGTTAGTGTTCAGATCGTCATTTTATCCTTTTACATTCACGTCGAACGGATAGGAAAATGTCGAGGATGAGAGGCTAAATCGTTCGAAGGGATGCTGCAACCTTTGGAGTGGACATGTTCAGTTTGCGAACAGATACAAAAATCCTTCAAATGGATGTCTTAACCATTTGCACGGATGTTGGAATCCTTTGAACGGATACCAAATTTTTTGAATGGACACGCAAAGCGTTCAAACAGATGCTAATTTTTTTTAATGGATAGCCGAACCGTTCGAACGGATGTTAATTTTTTTGGAATGGATAGGCAAACGGTTCGGACAAATGCTAATTTTTTCAAACGGTTTTTTAAAAGCGTGCGAAAGAACAACGAATGGATAACAAACGCTTACCCTCTTGAAACGGATAACCGTTAGCCTCCATTTCACCTTTCACTGTCACAAATGCATTAGGATAATGCACTTTACACTGAAAGAGAATTCAGCATGGATGGTTATTCCTAATGAAGCCACTTCACACTTGGGAGGTTTTTCCTTCCTCTCTAAGTGCAACTGCAGCAGGAAAGATATCAACATTAAGGAGTTACCACTCTTCTACATAAGAACACTGCAATACTGGTTTCAGTTTAATACTAAGCCATGTACTAGAAACACGATCATATGGAACAACAAAGATATTAAAATTGATAATATTACGATCTTCTTTCGAACACGGCTTAGTAGAGGAGTTTCCACTATAAAAAACCTTCTCGATCGTAATCTTGATCTCGATTTCCTTACTTATGAAGAATTTAAAACCCGTTACAAGATAAAAACACACTTTTTGACTTATTACAGAGTAGTAAACGTTATGCCCAAATGAATATAAAAAATGTATTAAACAAATAAATGCACAACAACACCAACCTACACCGCAACGCCAGAGCTTGAAAGCACTAACAACCAAGGCTATACCCGAGAGTTTTTTAATCACATATTTGAGGAACCTAGAGCCACACAATGCCGTATTGACAATGGGTTACCACCAGACCACATACACGGCTACTTTAACTTTGCTTTTTTTTGCACCAAAGAAACAAAGCTAATAATGTTCCAATACAAGATTTTACATGACATAGGTTTTACTGAGTAAATATTGTTCAGAGCTAATCTCGCCAACAGTGATCTCTGCTATCTATGCTTGGGAACAAAACAAGATCTGAAGCACATGCTAATCTTGTGTCAATTCGTCTCAGAGTTCTGGGAAGCTTTCCTGTACTGGTACAACTCTCAAGTATCAATAGGGCTAGAACTATCAACCATTAAAATCTTGTATGGTGTTAATGGTAACAATCACCTCAATAAGTTAACTAATCATCTCTTACTGCCGGCTAAATATTA